CGCTTGGGGCGGGGTGGGGGCCGAGGGCGGCGGGGCGACCTGGCTGTGCGCGCCCGATGGCGCAGCTCCCCTGGGAGGTGGACGCTTGGAAATGACTGAGCTTTCATCCATCCCCTCCCTGCGCCCGGGGTCTCGAAATTTAGGGACGTTTGCATTTCCGGCGGGAAAATGCCGGGTCGTGGTGGGGAGAAGGGCCGCCCCGTGTACTGCAGGACGGTTCGCAGCACCCCTGGCGCTGCCCGCTGGGCACCTGTCGCATCCCTGCTCCCCGGGCGTGGTAACCAAAAAGGCTCAGGCGCCGCCAGCGCCCCCTGGGAGGCACATCCCCCCCGCCCCCCTGCCGGAGAACTTCTTTCTGCCTGCGTCACATTTTCGCGGTGCTTCTCTTATAAGCTCTCTGGAGACCCAGAGGAGTGTCTTAGTCACCGCAGAGTCCCAGGTGCCCAGCGAGGCTCCAGGTACATGGTAGGCACCTAATATTTGGCAGAGGGATAAATGACGTCATGCATACTGTGCGCCCGGTTCTGTGCTCGGAGGTGGGTGATTATTGCTACCATAGTTGCCATAGGAGGAGAGTGTTCTGGCCCTGGCTGCGTGGTAGTACATCTCAGGCTGTATTGTCGCATCCGGGGTGCCCTGAGGGTGGGGACCCTGTTTGACCTGTCCGCGCCTGCCTCCCTGGTGCCCCGTCCCCAGTTCCTTGGAGATCAGTTATTTGTAGAATGAAAGAATGAAAGAATGCACACAGGACAGGCTCTCTGCAGAAGAGCACTTGGGGATCAGAGAGAGCTTCACACAGAAGTGAAAGGATGGAAAGATGACGGTTTTAAAGAATGGAAAACATTTGCTTGGAGAGGGAAAAAAAGGCTGTGTTTCAAGGAGAAGGGATGGCACTAGCGCAAAGGATGGAAGGGGATAGTGTCTGGGAACCGGGAGATGGTTCTTTATTGCTGCAGTCTCCATCAAAGGCAGCTAGACAGAGCTCCAGAGGTGGGCTCAGCCCGGCAGGGTCTCTAGATCATCACGCATGGCTTCTGCGTTTGAATTTTATCTGGAGACTGTTGAGGAGGGATCCTATTTTGCATATTAGAAGGAAACCGTGGGCTACAATGTGATACTGGATTGGAGAAGCCTGTACTTAGGTAGTTTCAGTAGGATAGAATGGAGAGGTCCTTAGGATATTAAGTTACCAGAATTGGGTCATTGATTATGTGAGGAATTTGATAGGCAAATATGAAATCAGGCTTCTGACTTGAGCAACTGGTGGAAATGTGTGGCCATCACTGAGAGAGGGCAGGAGTTGATGAATGGGTCTGTAACTGCATCCTGCTGTAGCCCTGAGCATTTTCTGATCAATTTTGCTTATGAGGAGTATTTAGTCTGAAGAAACTGTTTTCTTGGAGGGTACCTTTAGTTACCCTTAAGTAACTCCTCGGCTTTTCACCTACAAAGAAATTATGCATTTTTTGTTTTGTTTTAAACAAGCTTTTAAAAAATATATGTATATGTTTTTATTGATTTTTTTGGAGAGAGAGAGAGAAACAGCAGTGAGAAAGTAATATCTATTGGCTGCCTCCTGCACGCCCCCTACTGGGGAACCAGCTGGCAACTCTGGCTTGTGCCCTGACCAGGAATTGAACTCATGACCTCCTGGTTCATGGGTTGACGCTCAACCACTTCTCCACACCAGCTGAGTGAAAATTATGCTTTTAATATAGTAGTTGGGCAGGGCTGTTTTAGGCCTCAGAGAATATATATATATGTTGATTACTTGGTTTGATATCAATCAAACCAAGAACAGTATTTTTAGGATTAATGATTTGTTTCACTTATTTAATATCTTATATTTCTTGACAGTTTCTGCAAGACCATAAACTGAATCCTTGGAATGCTTGATATTTGCTGTATATAGTGCCTGTTGGTGGACTGTACTGCTATTCAATTAGAGTCTGAAGGGGACTGAATTCCTGCTGGTGATAACACATTGCAAGCCATAGTACCCGTGAACAAGATGACTACTGTCTCCCCAGAGCCTCAAACTCTGGCCTCAAATGAACAAAACAAGTTCCTAAGAATGGATACACATGGGAATGAAGAAGCTGTCCTAAGAGGAAACACTACTGACCCAGAGTCTTTCAGACAGAGGTTCAGGTGGTTTTGTTACTCAGAAGAGGCTGGACCCAGAAAAGCCCTGAATCAGCTCTGGGAGCTCTGCATTCAGTGGCTGAGACCAGACATCCACACAAAAGAACAGATTTTAGAGCTTTTGGTGTTTGAGCAATTCCTGACCATTTTGCCTGGGGAGATCAGGATTTGGGTAAAGTCACAACAGCCTGAGAATAGTGAGGAAGTGGTGACCTTAATAGAGGATTTGACCCAAACGCTTGAAGAAAAGGAAGGTGAGACTTATAGATGGAGGGAGGAAGTGGGTGAGATCTCCTTAGTGTATTAAAGTAACTCCCCAAAAGACAGCAGTTTATTACTAAGAAGAGACTAAGGGACTAGGTTTGAATTGGTCCTGCCTTTTACTGTGTGGTCTTAGGCAAGCTACATAACCTCTCAGAACTTTAGTCTGTAAAAAGGGGATCCCATCTTATCTATAGTGTTGTTAGGATTAAATAAGGTAAGGTATAATACATGGTGGATGCTCAAGAAATCATTTCTTTCCCTTCACCCCTGAGCAAGAGGGGACTTTAGAACCCAGGAGAGAAAAAAATAATCTGGAAATGTTTGGAGTCACAAGCACATCATCCAGCCAGACCTTAACTTCAGTGTGTGGAGTAGCACATTTTTAGAATGGAGCTATCCAATGTCTGTGATGTTGGAAGAGTGTTCTGCATTGTTTTGCATTTCAAGTTAAGCACATGAAAAGTGGCTAGTGCAAATAAGGAATTGAAGTTTTGATTAAATTTAGATAGCCATATGTGGCCAGCAACTACCCTGTTGGTAGTGAGTTCCACAGCCTTAGGGAACAGCTGACTTACATTTTCATAATTATATTATTATACATTACATATAAGTGTACAAAATATGCACTATGAATTATAACATGATTATGTCATTGTAAAATATTGATAAAAAGACTTCTAGGATGGCTACTTTTTGAGAGCATGTGGCTCAACTTTTGTAAAATCCCTCTATAGCTACAAATATTCCAAATGTTTTTGTAAATTATTTACCATAAGGCTCTCAATACATATGTGTAACAGTTTGTATTCTACCAGGAGTTCTGAAATAAGTGGGGAAATAGTGTTTACCTCCACAGACTTAATTTGTGGTCACACAGCTCATTGGTGTACCCAAAATTTGGGCTTCCTGACTCCTCTCTGACTTGTCTGTCACTGCAGCATGGTGCTTCTACAAAGTTGGGGCCTCTGTGTGGAAGCCCCTGCAATCAAGAAGTTCATGAATCGATTGCTCTAGCATTCTGTAAGATAGAACAGTCTCCTTAAAACAAGCTCTTTTTTCTCTTTGCATAGTTCTGATTCTTAATTTCCATTGATTGTCCAATCAATAAACTGCCTAAAATTATTTTCATATGAAAGTGAAGTATGATTTTAAAAAATACTTTTTCCTTATTAGAAGTGCTGTTAATATCTCAGGGTATTTAAAACACTCAGTTCATATGTTCAGATTCCTGGTTTCTGTCATTAGGAATCTGTTGGTGTCTTCAGAGCTGGAGTCAGTTTTTTTTTTTTTTTAGTTCTCACCAAAAGGTATTTTTCCCATTGTGTTTCAGAGAGAGTGGAAGGGAGAGAGAAAGAGAGAGAGAGAAACATCGATATGAGAGATACACACCTACTGGTTGCCTCCTGTACGCACCCTCACCGGGGGCCGAGGATCCAGCCTGCAACCAAGGTACGTGCCCTTGACCAGAATTGAACCTGAGACCCTTCAGTCTACGGGCCGTCGCTCTAACCACTGAACCAACCGGCTAGGGCTGGTTTCAGTTCTTGAGACCAGCTTGGCGCTGTCATTAAATGAGTGACTCTTGTGCAAGGCATTGTGGTTGGACTATGAGGAAAAAAATTAATACATAAAATAATATGTGGTTTTACCTTAATACATCTTATGAATGTTTTTAAAATAATTATTATGCAAATTAAATACATTAAACTGTGGCTGTAGGGAATGAATGAAATCAGTTTTTTGTGAGCTTAGGAATTGAAAGGATATTTTACGGGGCAGGGGGATAAGCTTGGGTTTTAATGGGAAACTCTATCTGTGGCTCTTCTTTCTGGTTTAAAGAATGGGAGCAAACTTTTTTCTGTTTCTTAATGATCTTTTTCTCCAGAGACATATATAAGAATTTCTAGTCTGAGGAATTCATTTGGAAGACTGGACTGTGTCTTTTCTTTCCTTCCTAGATCTAGTTTCTCAAAATTCTGTTATTTCCCAAGAGGAGAACTCTGAAGAAGATAAAATAGTTTCTGTTCTTCCAAACACTGAGTCCAGGGTAAGTTTCCTTTTACTGGTTTTCATTCTTAAGTGAATACTTACTAACCTCCTACTGAGTGGTTTAACAATACCAGATAGAATAATTAAGACAGTCTCCTATTCACATTCTTCCAAGTTACTCTTCAGTTTGGAGAATTTGTCACAAGTCTGATTGTAATAAAAACAAAACAAGTGTTTGCTAAAATTTAATGGTTATTCTTGATAAAAAATTAGCCAGGTGAAAATAGAATTATATTTCCTAACATGATAATAAACATCCCCAGCTGGATAGTGTTGGAAAATAAAAAGCAGTCCTTACAATGCCCATAAAAACATACGGATGTTTTAACCTTACTGTTATTAATGAGTATTTTCTGAATATTCTAGCCAATGCACTAAGATTAGAAAGAAATAGATAAGTATTGGTAGCTTGCTTTGGAATCCTTAGAAAGTTAAATACTATCAGAACTAATACATTGTATATTAACCACTTCTCTGAAATCTTAGCATCTATTTAGGAACAATCCAATGGAAAAAGACTGTGTTTGGTGTTCTAGGAACCCATGACATTGAAGGATATAGCTGTGAACTTTTCCCGAGGAGAGTGGAGGAAGCTGGAATCCTTTCAAAAGGAGCTATATAAGGAAGTGCTACTGGAGAACTTCAGGAGCCTAGAATTTCTGGGTAAAGACACCTTCTCTTCATGATCTAGCATCTAACCTGGCTATCCTTTTGTCCACTATTATTGAAAGATAAGTCGATAAGTGCTATAAACTGTTTTGGCTGGGCATGCAGGGGCGATATGATTAATCCTAAAAATGGGTCCTGAAAATGTGCTTTTCTGCAGTGTTTTCTCCAAAAAAGGCCTTTGATTCATAGAATTGGCGATGTTGAGCATCATTTTGCTGTTGCGAAGGCCGTACCTTCCCCCATTTTCTCCTCAGATTTCAGTGTTGATGTCTGATGTTTGACAGCATCCCCTCTTCACTGGAGAACCACATGCCATGTGTGAGTGCTGACTGACTTTGTTCTATGGAAAACAGCCATTTTTTAATTCTTCTCTCTATGAGCAGGCTTTCCAGTTACCAAATTAGATTTGATTTCCCAAATAACATGGGTTGAACTGCCATGGCTGCTGGAAAAAGAAGCCTCAGAAGGCTCCAGAGCAGGTGAGTTGGTGAAAAGCAGACAAGGAAATTAAAACAGTTGCCACGTCATTTGGGAAGAGCTTTTGAACTGTTGGGGGGGCCAAGTGCTAAAATTAAAATAGAATGATGATTCGAGTATACAGCCTGCCTTGCGGGATGTTCGTTTTAATGGGAGACTGTTAGTTTGGCATCTCTGAGAAGGAGATGCCAAGACATGATTAGCCATGCCGGAGACTTATTAGGGAAAATTCCAGTGAAAGAAAATGGGGTGGGCTCCGGAAGAGGCCAGGAGTGATACCAGAGCGTGATGCAGGTATAACGCCTGTGAATGAGAGGGAAGAAAGAGTGGGCAGAAGAAGTCTTAGACTAAAATGCAGTTTAAGAAAGCTTTGGCAAGGCCAAGAAAGACTCCTCAAGCCAGAGTTTCCTCTCAGAGTCCTCTGTCTCAGAAATGGGCCTGCCTGGTCTCCCTGCTGTACTTGTCACCCACTGGGACCAGCCGTGGGGAGTGGCCTTGGAGTGGATGCCATGATGAATTCATAGAGCGGCAGCAAGTGCTCTTAGCTGTCAGTTAAGTGCCTCAGAGGAGATCTGAAAGGATTTTTATGGACACCACAGATACAGATATCAAAACAAAAAGTGCTAGTAATGGGACTTATGCTGTAATAATGGCATGTGTATGGAGCACTGGGAAGATATAGGAGCAACAGCTTAGTTAAATTTGAGTTGAATCTCAAAGGATGAATATGAATTCACCCAGAGGACAGCATGTGTGGTATAATCCCATTTTACATTTAAAAAATAATTACTGCCCGTCCCATGTGCTCAGTGGTTGAGCATCAACCTGTGAACCAGGAGGTCACAGTTCGATTCCCCATCAGGGAACATGCCTGGGTTGGGGGCTTGATCCCCAGTTGGGGATGAGAAGGAGGCAGCCAATCAATGACTCTCTCTCATCATTGATGTTTCTACCTCTTTTCCCCTCTCCTTTCCTCTCTGAAATCAGTAAAAACATTTTAAATATATATATTTACTGATTTCAGACAGAGGAAGGGAGGAGGGGGGAGAGAGAGAGAAACACCAATGAGGAGGGAGTCATCATTGATCAGCTGCCTCCTGCACGTCCCCGACAGGGGATAGAGCCTGCAATCCGGGCATGTGCCCTGGCTGGGAACCGAACCGCAATCTCCAGGATCCTAGATCGATGCTCAACCACTGAGCCACGCCTGGCCGGGCTCAATAAAAACATATTTTTAAAAAATTACTTACATATTAGTACCTTAGTTTCTTTTAAAGAATAAAAAAATTGCCCTACCTGGCCGGCTTGGCTCAGCAGTTGAGAATTGACCTAGGATCCAGGAGCTTAAGGTTTGATTCCTGGCTAGGGAACATGCCCCAGTTGCCTGCTCAACCCTCAGTAGGGGGCGTGCAGGAGGCCGCCAATCAATGACTCGCTCATCATTGATGTTTCTCTCTCCCTCTCCCTTCCTCTCTGAAATCAATAAAGATATATTTTTAAAAAAATTTTTTAAATAAAAATGTGAGAGCAAAAACATCAATTGGCTGCCTCCTGCATGCCCACTACTGGGGATTGAGCCCACAACCCGGGCATGTGCCCTGACCGGGAACCGCACCTGCAACCCCTTGGTACACGGGACAATGCCCAACCAGCTGAGCCACGATGAAATATACATTTAAAGCAACAATACTATTTACTATAAATCATATTCACAAAGATTTAAAGAAAGATCATTTGACTGTCGATGAGTGCCCAGGTACTTCTCATCATGCTTCATGTGATAGTTCAACTTTTCTACCCTTTAGTTCAGTAATTCCATTTTTATTACTCTTGAGGAAATATTATTTGATAAACATTCAATAAGGGAATAATTAAACTAATATATGTTATATTAGTACATAAGTATAAGTATAGTAATATAGAATTTATTATTATATAACTGATTAAAATTATTTTTATGAGCGACCGTGAGATAAAGAATTTTGAATGAGAAAAGTAATCCAATATATTGTGCAGTTTTTCCATTCTAAAATATAGAGCAATTTCTATTCCTGGCTGGTGTGGCTTGGTAGGTTGGAGCATCGTCCCATATACCAGAGGGTTGTGGGACACATACCTAGTCAGGGCACATACCTAGGTTGCGGGTTTAATCCCCCTCTGCTTGTGCATGTGAGGAAACTGATCGATGCTTGTTTTGTTCTCTCTCTCTTTCTCCCCCGCCCTTCTCCTTTCTCTAAATCAATAAAAATTTCTAGAAGCAATTTCTAGAGCAATTTCTAGAAGAAAATACACAGAGTTATTAACAATAGTTAATTTCTAGGTAATAGGATTTTGTGTTTTATACTTATGTGTTTAAAAAATGGTTTTATAAAAGTGACAGTGTAATCTCATGACTAAGAGCCAGGATGATGATATGGTTAATGAATGAATTCAAAGCGTGGAGAAGGGCATAAAGATCACAGTTGTGGAAAAGGCTCCATGGAGATTGTGGGACTTGAACCCTAGGCCCTGTCAAATTTATATGTTTGTGATAGTGAAGGTGCTATGGGATTGCATTCTAGGTAGTGTGAAGACTAAAAGAACAGGATTGAAAATGCTGTAGTATATTAGGTACAGTAAATGGATGTCTGATTAGAGTATCCATGAGGTTGATAGGGCGAGATTGTGGTAACCTTGAAAGTCTAGCATAGATGCTATTGCATATCACACCTATAAACTTAGTGCTATTTGACTGCTTTGAGGAGGGGCAATATAGTATAGAGAGATCAAAAGCCTGGGCTTTAGTGTCAGACTAGGTTAACAGTTGGGCACTGCCACTTATAGTACATGTGACCTTGGGCAAGCGGCTTACATTCTGTGTGCCTACCTGTCACACCCATAGAACAGGGGTAATAGGACCTACTTTGTAGAGTTGTTGTGAAGATTAAGAGAAATACAAGTAAAGTGTTTGATATTTGGCCTGCATTTGGTAAGTATTCAATAAATGCACTATTATTACTATTATTATTGTTTGAAAAAAGAATAGATTGGATATAGGAAGAATAAGTTTGAACCTATTATAGAAATTTGAAATGAGGATAAGAACTTGCATTTCTAACTATAAAGCATAAGCGTTTCATCTCCCTCAATATTTTTCCTAACTCCTATTTTACCTACTTTCTCTGTATCACTTTTCCCTTCCTTGTTTTATAAGACTCTATTTGAGAACTGTCCAAGTTATAATCTTTATAGTCATCACTACCCGTATTCCTATTTTAGTCCCAAATACAGCACCTTCCTTTATTGCAAACAGGAAATATTCTGTGTTATTTCTTTTAGAGTGTGAACCTAGAGGTGAATTGAAGAAATCTGTTCGAAATCAAGATGCTCTTATGGACGAATCAACTTTAGATAGAATAATAGAGAGGTACCTAATGGGTAGTGATTATGACTTGATGGGAGAATCTTCCAAACATTGTGGCAGATTAGAGGAGGGTCGTAGGAATAAGGAATATTCACAAGTAGCAGGCACACAAAAGAAAACTCATGGGAGAGGCAATAAGGGTGAGGAATTTGACCCAGAAAAGGGCCCCTTTGGAAGTCATTTCAAGGAATCTTCAGATATAGTTAAACATATGAGAGTCTACTTAAGGAAAAAATCTCGGAAGTATAATGAATGCAAGAAACCATTTAGTTTTCATTCAGACCTTGTTATGAACCGCAAAGAGCACACTGGAGAAAAGTCACGGAAATGTAATGAAGGCAGGAAGGTCTTAAGTCACTCGTCATCTCTTACTGAACGTCAGAAACATCAGAAAATTTATATGGGGACTAAGCCCCAGAAGTGCAGTAACTGTGGGATAGACTTTACTCAAAGCTTATCCCTTGTTAAGAGAAGAAAAACCCCTATATGTGAGAAATGTAGGAAAAGTGAACGTAAGGATACAACCTCAAATAAAGATGAGGGAACAGAGACTAGAGAAAAAACCCATAAGTGTAGCAAATGTGGGAAAGCCTTTGGCTATAATACCTCTCTGACCAAACATCAGAGAATTTACATTGGGGAAAAACCTGATCTGTGCAAGGAATGTAGAAAAGCTTTCAGTGACAGTTCATCCCTCGCACCACATACTGGAACTCACAGTGGAGAGAAACCCTTCAAATGTGATGATTGTGGAAAAGGTTTCACCCTAACGGCCCACCTCATTAAACATCAGAGAATTCATACTGGAGAGAAACCCTATAAATGTAAAGAATGTGGGAGACCCTTTAGTGACAGCTCATCTCTTATTCAACATCAGCGAATTCATACTGGAGAAAAACCCTACACATGTAACAGCTGTGGAAAATCCTTCAGTCATAGCTCATCCCTTTCCAAGCATCAGAGAATTCATACTGGAGAGAAACCCTATAAATGTGGTGAGTGTGGAAAAGCCTTTAGACAGAATTCTTGCCTTACCCGACATCAGAGAATTCACACTGGAGAAAAACCCTACTTATGTAATGATTGTGGGATGACTTTCAGCCATTTTACATCTGTAATTTATCATCAGAGACTTCATTCAGGAGAGAAACCCTACAAATGTAGTCAGTGTGAGAAAGCCTTCCCTACCCATTCACTTCTTAGTCGTCATCAGAGAATTCATACTGGTGTGAAACCTTATAAATGTAAAGAGTGTGGAAAATCCTTCAGTCAAAGCTCATCTCTTAATGAACATCATCGAATTCATACTGGAGAGAAACCCTATGAATGTGACTATTGTGGAGCAACCTTTAGTCGAAGCTCAATCCTTGTAGAACACCTAAAAATTCACACTGGAAGAAAAGAATATGAATGTAATGAATGTGAGAAGACATTCAAAAGTAATTCAGGCCTCATTAGACATCGGGGATTTCACTCTGGAGAGTGATTCTTGGACCATAGCAAGGTGGGGGAAATTTAATCAAAATTATCCCTTATTAGAAACCCGGATGTAAATAACCACCACATTGATTAGTAGCTGCAACTTTGATAGGTTGGCAGCTAGGAAAAACAGACTTTTCTCCATTCACCCTTCTTTGCAAGGATGTTAACTTTTGGAAGATAGTAGTTAAGATTGGAAACATCATGTGGAAGGTGAAAATAGTATGAGATGCGAAATGATTGTAAAAGGCCAAATATGAATTTTAAAAGCAGCAGAGGGGTGCCCAGGACCTATCTTTTTAACCTCTTCAGAAGATCACCCTCTCTTCTAGCTTCCCCTTCCACTACCATGTAGTGTAATAGAGAACTTGACTGGAGTAATATAACCTGGGTTCTGTCCCAGTTTGCCAACCAATCTGCTATATAATGTTGGGTGAATCAGTTGACCTTTCTGAATTTCAGTTTCTGAACTGGTAAAATGAAGGGTTGGGACTAATGTTGTCTAAGTTGTTGTTTTTGTACCTCATATTTTCTGAAGCTGTGAAAATAAGTTAAACATTTTTGACTCATTGTATTTTTCAAGTTTCTGTAGTAGAAAATTACTCATTTAGGATGCTAAACTTCTGGCTTAGTGAGAATGTAGTATCCTTTTTGAATACTGGATGCCTTGAATACTTGATGCTAGAATGCTATAAACAGGAACAAGTCAGGGAAGCTGAAACAAGTTTGCCTTCAGGGAATGTTCTAATTGGACAAAGCACTCTAACCTGTTTTTCCTTTGGGCCTTGGCTGAGAGGATTGGGGATCTAGAGGGCATGAACCTGAGCCATCTCAGACATGAGAGTTACAGTCCTAGGAAAATAGATTGGGGGATGGTGGGGGTGGGAGGAAGCGAGTGCTGAAAACAGCTATTCTGGATGGGTTGCCTTTTGCAAAATAGAGTTTTATTTTTTTAAGTTTTGCCTATACTAAGTACAGTGTCCTGTAATTGGAGTGTAAACATTATGTATGGCAAAGGTCATGAGCTAAAGTTGCGCCCTTTGACATATTTTAGTTGGTCTGCATGGTAAGGTTTTCTGTGGTGTGTGTGTGTGTGTGTGTGTGTGTGTGTAATTAGTTGCCACCATTTAAAATAGGAAATTTCATACCAAATAAAAGGCTTGTCTTGAAAAAATATAAGGGATGACAACACTAGACCCATATTTCATGGGACAGTCAAGTGGTTTGAGACAGCAGCTGCTCCATTAAATAGGAATTCTACTCTTCTACTTGGGGGCCAACTTCTTGCAGTGTGTAACCTGACTTGCCCACTGTAGGGATTTGATATTCTGATTCCCTACCATCTGGAGAAAACATATTCTAAAATCTAAAGAGACTTCATTGATAGATAGTAAAATTCAGGAAGAGAATGTAGAAATAATAAATTTTCACTTAAGTCGTCTGTTGTGAGATTAGACTCAAAGGAACGGAGGCTACAGATGTTAGTGGATTACTGCTTGTGAATTTTATTGGTGGAATCTGAATAATAGCTTCTAACTGCAAAAGGAACTAAAAACCCTATGTCAGTTAGGTTTGGGTCTCAGGCCATAGGGTTCTGGAGGAGCTCCACTGACTCAGCAGTGGTGCAGAGCTGCTGACGTTGGCATTGGAGGCATAAAAAGACAACTAAGGCAAAAAACTTTCAGCTTATCAAAGGAGAGAGGTCCGTAACGCTCATCTGAGGCATGGCAATGTTTGCTGTGATTTAGTGGGTTGAGTTTGCATTGCTGCCTCTGGGTAATGCTTTTGGTTTCTTCCCTGTGCCCTCACTCCCCCAAAGCCTGTAGTTCGGACATTGCTGTGTAATAAGGTGATCTGCATAGTTCCTACTAAAGAGAGACCAACCAGAGACATTTAGCCTTATACGACTTTGGCTTATGAGAACCGTTCACCTGATTTAAGTTTTATGGTGTGTGGTTGTTTTTTAAAGATATAAACCCTGGTTTGTTTTCTAAAAATATATAAACCCTAGTTTGTTTGTTTGTTTTTGAAAAAATATAATTTATATAAAGAATTAAATTTGTAAAATTCTTGAGAAGAGGCTTGTTCTGGGATGTTTACTTTAAAATGATGACCTTGCTTTAAAAAATATTTTAATGGGTTTCTATTGAAATGTCTTTCAAGTCCCACCACAGGACAAGGCTTCTCCTGTCAACGAGTTTACTTTTCTTTACTTATTTTAGAATTCTTTTTTAATGTAAAAATACATAATGTGAGACTGACCTTTTTAATCCTTTCTTGGTGTACAGTTCAATGGCGTTAAATACATTCACATTACTGTGCAATCATTGCCACATTCATCTCCAGAACTTTTTCCATCATCCCAAACTGAAACTCTCCTCATTCGCCAATAACTCCCCACTCTTCCCTCCCCCTAGGCCCTGTAACCACTATTCTACTTTTCTGTTTCTTATGAATTTGACTCTTCAAGGTACCTCATATAAATGGATTCATTCAGTGTTTGTCCTTTTGTGCCTGGCTTGTTTCACTTAACATTGTGTTTTAAAGGTTCATGTAGTGTGTCAGAATTTCATTCCTTTTTAAGGCTGAATAATATTCCATTGTATGTTTACACCACATTTTTTTAATCCATTCATCCCTCAGTACACGTTTATGGTGCTTCTACCTCTTGGCTGTTGTGAATATTGCTGCAGTGAACATGGGTGTACAAATATCTCTTCAAGATCTCTTATCAGTCTTTTGGATATACACCCAGAAGTGAGATTGCTGAATTGTGTGGTAATTCAATTTTAACCTTTTGAGGAACCTCCATGCTGTTTTCAATAGCAGCCACACCATTTCACACTCCTGCCAACAGTGCACAAGCGTTTCTTCATGTCCTAGCAACACTTAATATTTTCTGTATTTTTATAGTGGCCATTCTAACAGATGTGGTTTTGATTTGCATTTCCCTGATGATTAGTGATGTTGAAAATCTTTTCATATGCTCATTAACCATTTATATATATTAAGGGAATTGTCTGTTTAAGTCCTTTGCCCATGATTTAATCAGGTTTTTGTTTTTGAGTTTCAGCTGTTTTTTATCTAGTCTAGATACTAACCCCTTTTAACAAACTTATGATTTTCAAGTATCTTCTCCCATCCCATTGTTTCCATTAGAATATTTTTTTTTTTCCTTCGGCACTGTTTCCTTTGCTGCGCAGACGTTTTTGAGTTTCATGTAGCCCCATTTGTTTATTTTTGCCTATTTTTCTCCTGTGCTTTTGGTGTCATGTCCAAGAAATCATTACCAAAGTCAATGTCATGAAATCCCTCCCCACCCCCACCCCCATTTTCTCTTTTAGGAGTTTCATAGTTTCAGTACAGTTCCATAAACTGGCGATTATTATTTTATAGCATTTTCACCTATATACTGAAGAATCTTAGCATCTGTATGCATGACTTTTTTTTTTTTTTGGAGTTTGCTTCAGAAAATGGCACACAAATATTTTCAGTATCAGATAGTGGAGCAAAGCAATGAGGGAAACACCATTCTCTTGCTTTAAAATGCCAGTACATCTGGTCTTTTGACTTTACATAGCTAGAGTTCTTATAATAGAAACAATTTTTTCTATCTTTAGCTGAAATTCTTCTCTGACACATGGATAATTATCAAAAATATCTGCCCTGAGTGAATCTTTAGGCAGTGAATTGACATTTCTTTGTAAATTTGGATGTTCTTTGAGACAGAATATTATCCAAAGTTTTCACTGGGCTGTGTCTTGTGTTCTATAACTCATCTAAAGCTGAAGATAAATACTTGCAAATTCTCAAATTTTGAATCAATTGATCTTTGATATCATTAGAAACTTCTTGTATTCTATGAGCAAAATTACTTAGAGAATTGAAATTTTCGATTTTGTAAATATCTTTTTAAAGTCTCTTCCTCATAAATGTCTAACTCAATCACCCTAACTAAAATAACTAATTTTTATTATCTCTCCATCTAAGATTCTTTGTGTGTGTGTGTGTGTGTGTGTGTGTGTGAATTCACACTGTTTTATAGCTGGCTAAGTTTATAAGCTCAAATCCTGGTAACAAGTTGTTTAAATTTCTGTTGGAAATTTGGTTGTCATATGATGAAATTCTTGGATTCTTTTTTGACTATTAGAAAAATACTTATCAAACTCACTAGATTGTTGCTGAAAAGTGACTAATATTAGATACTGTCTTAAATATTGTCTAGTGTGGTATCTTTAACACTTTGGTGTACAACAGATAGCTTTTTCATTTGCTGTGCCTGCAGTAAATTGCTGTTGCCTTTCATCATTGAATGTGCACTATGCCGCCTTCCACTCTTTCTTAATTTACTGTACTAGTCGTAGTACTAGCTTCTGTATTGCACTGAATTCTGCCTCAGTAATATGCCTTCATTTAAAATTTAAATATTTTTCTGTATTTTTTAAACCTAGGAAACAATTTAATTATAACGAAAGTAGTAAGTATCTGTTTATGATTGTGGCTTATGTCTGTATTGCTATAACTTGTGCTGTCTGCACAGGTGTACTTCAGATTGTGCTGTGTACATAAAGTATCCATGTAAACACATTGTGATGTTACTTCAGTGCACAGAAAATAGTCATCTGAACTGAATCAGTCTGTGGATACTGACTAGATTGGTGAAGTGTTTCTCTGTAATGCTAGAAATAATGCACGTTCCTCTACAACTACTACAATACGTCTTATGCGATGCAACAGTTAAAGTGAATTGAAGTTCTACCAAAACAATAAAGTTGTGTTTAATGGAGACACATTTACTGTGCTTTGTTGTTGTTTTTTGAATCCTGAAATGTGGCACTATCCATATTTCCACTTCTCAATAGCCTTAAATGGCTACCAAATTGGGCAGGAGAGACTTGGGGTAAACAATGCTAGCCACAGAAAACCTCAGAATCAAAGTGGCTTATTTCAATGAAAGTTGATTTCCCTGGCAGCATTCCAACATTTATTGCTTTCCCATATTTGTAGTTAGGCCATCTGGAACTTATCACCTCCAAGATCCCAGAGGCAGGGAAAGCAAGAACTGGAGCATTATATAATATGAGGTGCCTGGCTGTTGTTTACTATGAATTGTTCATTCTCTATTGCTAATTACATATTATTTAAATGTATTTTATTAGGTAGCTCAAACTCATTACAATATTTCTTAGATAATGAAGGCAGTATACATTTTTACTGAATGATTAAAAAGAAATTAAGTAATCATCCAAATGGTTCCTAGATTGTCTTTTTTTTCTTTTTCATGCTTTCACTATTGTTTTCCCCACATTATCTCCTTTCAGCATTCCCATAAACGCAGCTGGCATGTTCTCAAATCCTTCAGTGATGCATTCATGGTACTGGATTTTACCCTTATCAAAACAACAAATATAATAGATTAATAGCATATTCTAAATGATCCACTCATTGTAGCAACAGATTTATCAGGTACATCATGGGAAACTTGAAACTATAACAGGAGGCCCTGTGCTCCGTGAACTTAGAGTCACCTTAGGGGCATGATCCATATACACAGTGTATGTAACATTACAAAGTACACATAAGGATTTAATAATAGGCATCATATCATAGTGTAACGAGGAGAAATGTCACAAGGAAGTGATTAAGCAATTTCTAAGTCAATTATATGAAAAGTTTAATGATGTAATGATCTCAGAAGAGGTGAAAGGAGATGGAGAAAGGAGCACCCTTTAGGATGTTCTCTGCACTCATCCTTCCCAGGACGTAGCTTCACTGCCTCTACTTGACCCCTGAGGAGGCAGAGCCCGTTCAGGAAATGTAAATGCCATGGCACCTTAATAATTTGTCTTCCCTTCGTGCCAAGGTTCTGTTAAAGTGTGTTTAACATTCATTTAGGAGTCCGGAAGGGAAGGATTCATTTAGTGAGGATGATTTTTCATTCTCTTTCTACTTCAAGGCACAGTCTACTAAGTGAAATTAATTCACATTTTCAAGGTTTTTTAGGGGGGTCTTATGTGGAGACTCAGTACTCTCAGTTACACTCAGCAACTCTTATCTGAGTTACTGATATCTTCCCCCTCCCAATGTGTTCCAGTGATGGCTTAGCGCCCTTTACGGACTTGTGGAGGGACCATTTGCTTGAGGTCACTCAACTAGTAAGTAGGGAAGCTGGGATTTGAACCCTTGACTAGAAAGTCCAAGCTCATTCCTGCTCTTGAAGAGGCGAAGAACCGGGAAAGAGTCGGAAGCTATAATGCAGTTTAAAGGTTACAAGTAGAGGGTGAACACTAACAGTACATGTAATAATATGGGACCTTAAGGGATAGGATATAGAGTACATGGGAACTCCCTGTCCTATCTTTGTGATTTTTCTGAATAAAAAGTATACTTTAAGAAGGCAAGAGATGAGAAAAAATAAGTAGATGAGAAATGAGGCCAATTCCCTAGTTCCTTAAAACTACAATCAGGTTCTTTGTTAGAGGGACGCAGGAGGGACACCAGCATGGTGGCTTCCTGCTCTCAGCTGTGACCGTGGAAACGCTCGATTCAATTTTACCGACAGGGATGACAAGGCTGTGCGCTGGGAACTTAAGGATAATTCAGCTCACCCCGCGTCCTGGAAAGAGCCGGGCCCAGCACTCCAGGGGTTAACCCTGGGACAACACCAGCCTCCAGTGGTTGCCTGAGGAGCAGTCGCCCTCTTTGAACTGGGAAGTGATCATGAAGCCAGGAACTGGGAAGTGGGAGAGCACTTTCCCCCTCTAAAAACTAAAATAACTCACCTTGGTTATTCAGATTTCTGTCGACTAAAACTCTACGTGGTCTTGGTGGGAAAATGATCACAGCAGAGAACAAAGGGATGGGCTTCTTCCCATGATCTAGAGGCATGGCTGCAAGAAGACTAGGGTAGGACCTGGGAGAGCCACGGCACAAATATGTGTCCCTCGTCCATTCGATGATACTCATCTAATGCCTACATTGATTCAGATGCTATACGAGGTGCTGAGGATACATGGGCAAGCAAAAGGCATAAACACTGCTGCCCGCAGAGGTTACATCCTCAGGGCAGGAGATGGGCAACAAATTGATAAAGAAGTGAATTGTGGTATGTGCTAATATTAAAAGGTGATAACGGCTATGGGTAAAAGATAAGGAGACTCAAGAATGAAGGGGGATTATAATTTAAAATAGGGTCACTGTAAAAGTTGCTTCATTCAGAAGGCAGTTTTTAGCAAAGACATGAAGGAGGTGAGAAACTGAACAGTTACGGAGGGTGGAGAGGTAAGGGGAGGGATTGGACAGAGTAAGCAAAGTGAGTAAACACGAAGAAATGAAATTAGAGAGGTAACGGGATAGATCGCAGATAGCCTTGTAAGTTATATTCTAAGTGAGCATAAGAATGACATGGTTTGATTTATGCTTTAAAAGATCACTCTGGCTGCAGTGTTGGGAATTATCTGTAAGGGCACAAAGGTGGGAGATCAGATGGAGGCTAACACAACATCCTAGAAAAGAGGTAGCCTGGACCAGGGCAGTAGCAATGGAGGTGAGAGGAGCAGTCAGATTCTGTATGTATTTTAGAAGCTTGAGCCACCAGAATTTCACAACAGATTGGACATAGGTGTGAATGAGAGAAAGGAAGGAAGCAAAGATGATTTCAAGGGTGTGGGATTGAGCAACTAGAAGGGTAGAACTGCCACAACTGAGATGTCTATGGGACAGGTTTGGCAGGAAAGATCAAAACATTTTGTTTTTGACCTGTTAAGTCGAAGATGTGTATCCCACATCCAAGTGCAGCTGTCGAGCAGTCCAGAGCTCAGAGGAGACATGCAGGCAGGAGAGAGGCATTCAGGAGCTGTCAGCCTACCTACACGTAAAGTCATGAGCCTGGATGAGCTAACTAAGGGGTGGACAGAGAAGAAAAGAAGCCCAGTGACTAGAGCAAAAGCCTGATGTGTGAATTTAAGAAAGAATGGGAAGAAAGGAACTGCAGACAGTGAGTGTAGACACTTCCAGGTATCTTGCTATAAAACAGGGAGCAGTGAGATGTATTTGCAGAGGAAATTTGAAGTCTACAGCGTCCAAGGGGAATGAGACCTAGTATACAATTGGAGGGAGTGCTCTGGAGCCCCTTACCTCTGAGACCCACTTCAGCAATTCTTTCTGGGCCTTCTGGCGGACATCCTCTGGCCAGCGGCCTACGAGGAACCCTTCCATGCGGAGTTCCTGATAGATAATAACCTCTGGGGGTGGGCCTGTGAAGAAGAGGGCACATTTGGGTGACAGTGTCCAGGGAGGTGACCATGGTGAAAACAGGCAGTACAAGTCACATCACTGACTGTTCTCTTACTGCTTCCCCCTCCATTTCCTCAGCTCTTTTCTGATCCACAGAGCTGCCCACAAATCAACTCTGTGGTAGGCAGAACAGCGGCCCACAAAGATGTCCACATCCTAATTCCCAGAACCCGTGAAGATGTTACCTTGCAGGGCAAAAGAGACTTTGCAGATATGATTAAGTTAAGAACTTGAGATGCAGATTATAGTGTAGTTACGTAAGTGGGCCCAACATAATCACAAAGATCCTTGTAGGGAAAGAGGGATGGAAAAGAATCAGGAAAAAATTATGTGATGATGGAGCCCTGGTCAGTGTTGCTCAGTGGTGAGAGTGTCAGCCTGTGCACTGAAGGGTTGCGGGTTTGATTTCTGGTCAAGGGCACGTACCTGGGTTGCAGGTTTGATCCCCAGCCCTGGTTAGGCCACATGCAGGAGGCAACCAATCAATGTGTGTGTCTCTCTCTTTCTCCCCACTCTTCCCTCTGTTCTGAGATCTCTAAAAATCAATGGGAAAAATATTGTGAGAATTAACAACAACAATAAAAATATGTGATGATGGAAGCAGCGATCAGAGAGAGAGAAAAAGAGATTTGATAATTTTATGCTGCTGGCTTTCAAGACAGAGGAAGGGGCCAGGAGCCAAGAAATGCAGACCGCCTCTAGAGCTAGAAAAGGCAAGGAAACAGACTCTTTTCTGGAGCCTTCAGAGGGAACACAGCCCTGCTGACTCATTTTAGACTTCTGACCTCCAGAACTATAAGGCAATACATTTGTGTTGTTTCAAGCCACTTAAGTTTGTGGTCATTTGTTACAGCAGCAATAGGAAACATGCTTGGAGTCCTTGACATGCCAGAAGCGAGGCCCACCCAAAATTTCCCAAATGGTTCTGTGGAACAGAAAGAGGTCCTAAAGATAACATGAAAATATTTCTACAGCATTCAAGAATGATACCCTCACATTCCCCATACTTAGCAGGTTCTTCTTGATGGCTTAATGCAGTCATTCTATGGCATAAGTCCATCTGCTTCCATTCTGTACTCAGAGGGGATGCAAAACAGCTAGTGTCCACCCCTGGACTGAGAGCCAGCAAGAGAGAAGAGACAGAGGCTCAACAACTCCCACGCTTGCCTCTGTCCTCGCCACTTCTGGATTACCAAGAGTTGGCCTGAACTGTGGGCCTCGCACTATGGTGTGGTTCAGAAACGTGCAAGGCTTATCAAAAGAAATTGCTGGGCCCCTCCCGCAATTCCTGTTTTCTTTTTTTTTTTTTCTTAATCCTCACATAAGGATATTTTTTCCATGGCTTTTTAGAGAGAGAAGGGAGAGAGAGAGAGAAAAACATCAATGTGAGAGAGACACAGAGATTGTTTGCCCCCTGCATGTGCCCTGACCAGGGCCGGGGATTGAGCCTGCAACTGAGGTACATGCCCTTGGCCGGAATCAAACCCTTCAGTTCGCGGGCCGATGCTCTAACCACTGAGCCAGACCGGCCAGGGCCTCCCGAAATTTCTGATTGTAGCTATAGAGTAGGCCCCAAGAATTCATATTTCTAACAAGTTCCCAGGAGATGGTGATACCGCTGGTCCTGGGTTCACACTTTGAGAACCACCAGCCTAGAAAGAGCACAAGGCTACCCCGCAGCCTGTGAGGTAGCACTGTTCTGTGTGTGAGAGATAAGGTGGCGTGGTTGCCTGTTTTCTTTTCCCAAGGATCTTAAGTAACCAGAAACCGAGGACATGACACCTGAGCATAGTCTTCCAAGTTCCAGGAAGTCAGGTTCAGTCAGGACCAGAAGAGACAGGATGAGTGGCAGAGTCTGTTTTCAGCATCTTTGATAACTGCCGTTGGGGGGAAATAATTACTTGCCTCGGAGCTATCCCAGCAGTGAAATATGTTAGAATGTCTGGAGATCAGAAGCAGGGCAGAATCCTGTCTGATTACAGTGGAATGGGCAAGGCCAGCTCACATCTCAAAGACCTATCTGAGCAGCTGAACTTCCAAAGATTAATTGCTTAAAAAAACCACGATGACAAAAAACTAGGTCAAGTGACTGTATTCAAATTATTTGGCTACGCCTAACTGTGCTGTGGTCAAGAAAATGCATCCTGGAGCTTTGCTTGATTGGCGGGCAGAAGATTTCTCATGATTCTAGTTCAGCATCAATTAGAAAAATACAGGGGTAAAAAGGTCCCTAACCAAGTGAACCTGGGCCTTCCTTCTCTGAGAAGGTAGTGTCTTCGCTTTTTCACAGCTCGAGAGGGAATCTACAGGTTGTCCTTCCCGGGCCCCTTTCCGTCTCGCCCACCTGTCTCGGTGCAAACTTCACGTTGCTAACTAGCAGGGCTATAAGCTTTCATTCCCATGAATCAAGCCCATGATAGAATGAATGACCAGTTTATTTGTGGTTGCGTCGATCCTGATAAAAATCTGGAAGATCCCTTTTTGTTCTTTCTCCTGTTTTTGGGCCGCCGTAAATCTGTAATCTCGCCAACAGCACAGAATTGTTGCAGCAGAAAAGGGCTCTGTATGAGTTGTTCAGGAGACCTGTCTTCGTTTTGAGTCTGTTGCTAACAGGATTTAAAGTCTCTGGTCCTCTCAGCCATTCATCTCCCCGGACCCAAAAAGTAGGAGGCTTGTACAACACCTCTCAGAGACGGGGAGCTAATGAATGCGGGTCTCTAAGTGACCCTGCTTTTAGACCTTCACAGCTATGCTGGTGGGGGCAGGGCGGTCTCAGCACAAGACAGGGAGGAAGAGGGGGGTGGAGGGCTTGGCAGGGCACAGGAGAAACAAAAAAGGGCAATCAAGGAATGGGGGAAGAAATGCATGTTTCTTTCCCTTCTTTTGGAAATCATCAGTTTGGTGAGGCCAGGGCGTCCTGCTGCTCTAGAAAGCATTGCCCACGACTATCTGAAGGAAATGGCAGCTTATTTCCCCTTCATCCGCCTCACGGAACCTTGTGCCCAAACCCTCACCTCCAGCAATGTCCCGAATATCCTGAAGAACCCTAACATTTTACCAGCCAGACCAAGGGGTTCTGTTTCTAAATCAAATCGTGGCAGTCTTTTTGCAGTTTTTCAGGAAATAGGTAAAAACTAAAACTTGTAATAATATGTGTTTGTTCTATATTTTCAGGTCCTGTTTTTTCTCTATACAAAAATATAAGCTGATCAATATTATTTCATCAAGAATATCAGAAAGTCTTTAAACTATTTTGATAGCCACTAAGATCTTTTTAATATTCTGATGCCACTTCTGTGAATCTTCTCCTTGTCTGGTCTTTTACATCTGCGACCATGTGCATGAGCTCATTACCTGGAGGAAGCGGACGAGTACTATTATATGTAGAGATGGCCCCACATATAGCAATTCTTCCAAATTTCTTCATCTGAGGGATAACAACGTTCGAAAATTCTCCACCTACCTAAACAGGACACACAGACACACACAAAAAAACACCTTAATTTAAACACTAGAAGATTTAGGGAAGTCATTCATTTACAATCATCATTTCACATTACTTGTTTTAGCAGCAACAAAACTGACTGAATTAGCACAATAGTGCAGAAAATTGCATTTGGAAAAAGACATTAGAAACTGGGAATTTCCATTTTACTGTAAGAACATACCTTATATAACATAACTTTTACTTTGTTATATTGTGAGATTCTCTGATCAGTTCAATAATCTCATTGCCCTACCTAGAACTTTGGAAGACTACTTAAATGGCATATAAAGAACACAGTTGGAAGACTCACATTTTCCAATTTCAAAACTTACTACAGAGCTATATTAATCAAGACAGTGTGAGAAAAAAAGGATAGATCAATAGAACTGAATTGAGAGTCCAAAAAATAAACCCTTACATTGTGGTCAGTTGGTTTGAATAACAGTACCAAAACAAGTCCATAGGGACAAAGTGGTCTTTTCCCCATAGAAGAGAATGGAACTGGACTCCCTCCTTACACCATACACAAAAATTAACTTAAAATGCATCCTAGGCCTAAAAGTAAAAACTAAAACTGTAAATCTCTTAGAAGAAAACAAAGGAGTAAATCTTCACACCAAGGGACAAAAGAAAAACTAAACTGGATGAGCAAAATGAAAACTTTTGTGCTTTAAAGAACATCATCAAGAAAGTGAAAGAAAACTTACAAAAAGGAGAAAATATCTGTAAACCACATACAGTGGATCTTCATTATTATTGAATTCCATATTTGCAAATTGTACTACTTGCTAAAATTTGTTTGTAACCCCCTAAACCAATACTCACAAGGCTTTCCCTGGTCATTTGCAGACACATGCAGAGCAGGGAGGGAGATGCAAAGTTCCCAACTAAGGTCAAACAAGGCCATGGCTCTGCCTTCTTTTCTCAGCTCTCTTATGGAGATTACCAGAGGGTGAAGACAGTAGGGGGCAGTGCAGTTTATTTCTAGAAGCTCTGGCTCTGGGGCCATTTGGATGGGGTATGAACCCCAGCTCTGGGAGGATTAGTTAGTGGGGCAGACTCAAACAAGTTACTGAACATTTCTCTGAACCTCATATTTTCTTTTGTACAACAAAGAAAATGGAAGTTATAGGAAGAGTTGTTTTTAGGATTTAAGATTGTAATCTATGCGAGATATGTGCATATATGAGTGGATAAATAAAATGTGATATATCAATACAATGGAATATTATTTGGCCATAAGAAAGAATGAATCACTGACACATGCTACAACATGGATGAACCTTGAAAATACGCTAAGTGTAAGAAATCAACCACAAAAGACCACTTTTGAGAGAAAGTGGGTAGTGACTGCTAGTAAGTACAGCTTTTCTTTTTAGTGTGATAAAAATGGTCTAAAATTGATTGTGGTGACAGTTGTACAATTCTGTGAATATACTAAAAACCATTAAATTCTATACTTTAAATGGGTGAATTATATCACAATAAAGCCATTCTTTCTTTTAAAAAGGCACATGTACTTTCTTCATAGATTTTAGATAGAAACTCCAGAAGTATATTCCCTTGTATAGTTACTTTGTTAGTAAATCAGATTTTAAGTCTAATTTGTACTTACATTGTCAAAATAACAATCATAACCATCAGGAGAAGCTTTTTTCAAAGTTTCTTCCAAAGACTTTATTGTCTTGTAGTTAAATGCAACGTCAAATCCAAGTTTTTTAAGGTGGGCAACCTTATCATCAGACCCTGCTGCTCCAACAACTTTGCAACCCTGAGTGGGGGGAAATGGAAACCATTTATACGTCACAAGAACAGACCAACTCCACCTGCTAACTGTGCCCCCACCATCGCATCAGACTTCTTGAACAGACACCCGCCCAATCACAGCCAACGTCCCCATGCCCTAGGTACCTCCCAGGAGTTGGTTCCCAGGCCATGGCCCCACCCACCGCTCTGGGCTGACCACAGTAGCCTTTGCAATGGGGCCACGTGGGTGACAACTCTTAGTTGGCGGATCTCAAGTCCCTCTTTCTATTGTTGGGGACAATCATAAAGAGAGGAGGTAAGGCTGTAACAAGAAATGTTCCATAAAAACTATAAAAGTAGTTACTGCTTACAAACTCACTACTCTAGACAGAGGCCATTTATGACTCGACAGCTGCAATGTTGTTAAATAATATTCAGGGCATCTTCGCTACATCGTGTTCCTCATTTGCCCATTTCTCAATCATTCCCACTCTTCAGCTTCTAAACAAGACCCACGAGACTGAACTCCGAGACTGGGGGAGGTCTGCTGTGTTCACCGCGGCGTTTTCAGTGCACACTGCGGGTGCTGAGTAAATGTTTGCTCCTGGAGGATGACACTTACCTTGATCTTAGCTATCTGCCCCACAACAGAGCCCACGGCTCCCGCTGCTGCATTAACCAAAACTGTTTCTCCACCTTTTACACCACAGATGTCAAGTAGGCCAAAGTAGGCTGTTAGGCTGAGGAAAGAAAATTAAGGGTATGTGAATAGATTTGTTGCTTTCCCCTATCACTCATTCAGATATACCCCAAAGACCTTCTTAGCAGCCCACTGCCATGGGTCCAGGTCCCCTTGCCCCTCAGGAAACTCACAAGTGTACAGGGAAAGGTGAGGAAGGATACAGATGCAGAAAACCAAAGCAGATTGGACTCTCTTTCCCTTTTAAATTCTGAAGTGGGGGCAGAGATGAGTGATGTGTGAAGCTAAGACCCTCCCGGGAACAGGAGGAGCTGGCACCTTTGTGTACCATTTGCCAGCTGCTTGGGAGGGATGGTGCCCACGATGCTTCTCACTCCCACTTCCTCTTTGTCCCTGAGTGTCTCTGACCTGATCCCCTTCTCTTTCCTTCAGTTTCACGGCTAACTCTAGGCCAAGCCCACTCTCCTTTCCTTCTTAGTCCCACCATCTTCTCTGATGAGCTCCTGAACATATAATGTCCTATCTCTTCCTATTGATCAAGTTCTGGACAAACCGTTTTTGGAAATCCAGAGTCTCAGGCATTCAAACAAGTGACATCTACCCACAGAACTCACCCTGTCATGCCCAGTGTTCCCACCGCCAAGGACAGAGGTAATGTGTCCGGCCACTCTGCAGGCAGCTTCTCCAGTTGTTTTCCATCAGAAATGGAGTGTGTTGTCCAGCCTGAGGGAGCCACTACAACAGTTCCTGTTGGAAAGGCCGAGTTTTTACTTTCCACAACTCTGAAAGACAAAGCACATGAGGACGTGTGAACCCCTTGCCAGGATGCGGTGAGGTTCGCGCACACAGAGCACCGAGGTGGACGTGCCGGGAACGAACACCCCGCCCTCACCTCTCCAGCTTACGTCTTAGCCACTGGCCTTCAGAAAACAAGCCTGGGCCAGCAGAGAGGAACTCTCGCAGCTGGCCCAGCATCTGCCCTGTCCCAACCCGCTTCTCTCCTGCCTACACAACAGGTGTCCATCCTGTCTGCTCATGTTCTTCAGGGTCGCCCTCCCCTCCCTGGCCCTTCCTCTCTCCTGAATCTGGAACATTCTCTCTGTATTGCCCCTGCCCCTCAGCATATAAGTTTGCTCAGCTCTGCCCTTTCACGGCCCATGTTCTCCCGCCTCCTCCCTCTCTTCGCTTCCCCTTCACTGGATAACCCAAAGCAGCACCCCCACCACGCCACTCAGGCCACAACAGCCCCTGAGGGAAAAGTCCAGTGGACACTTCATTTGTCATCTGATTTCACCTCTCTTCTGTATTCGACACACTGGGTCCCCCCAAACTTTTTCCCTTTGGTTTCCAGGATTTCTTCAGGCTTCCTACCTCTCCTTCTCAGCTGCTCTTTTTTGGTCTCACTTGCTGATTTCCCTTTCCTCCATCATCTCCCGCCCTCACCATTCTTTATTTGTCCCTGCCCCCAGATCATAAAGTTATATAACATACATTTATTTTAGAAAACTTAAAACATATGAAATAAAAATGTCAGTTCTAATCCTATGAAACAAACATAACTAGTAATAATTGGGTGTATTTTATGGCAATCATGATATACTTTTAAATGTGCATATATTATGTGTATTTACATAACTGGAGTAATTTTATGGGTTTTGTAACCTAATTTTTCTCTCTCTACATTATACTAGTCTACATAATTTATAAGGACCAAATATCCCTCCCTTCCCATTAGTCAGGAAAAGGGCAGAATTCCCAAGTTGCTCCGAAGATCAGACAATGAGTGAACCACACAAGCTGAAGAAATTGTGAGAGTGATGCACAGAGACAGGACCCAGCAGAAGGCAAAGGGGAGGCATGTTTTCCAAACACTGGGACAAGTGGAAATAACTACCTGGCCACTTGCCCCCCCATCATCGTATCACCCTCCTTCAATCTTTTGGCCGCCAACCTGAAAAAAAAAAAAATCCATGCTTAATATATAAGAGCATTGGGGAAAAACTGTCTTGAGCTTAAGGCCAAATGGAAAACCGCTGGGGAAATGTGTGCAGAAATGAACCTCAGATACTATCTCCAGGTAGATAGTGTCAGAATTGAGTTGAATTGTAGACACCCAGCTGGTGTCTTAGCTTTGAATCTCTATCAATCAGCTGGGGAAAAATTATTTAAAGGAAAGATGACTATCTTAATTACCTAGGCAAAAAATTACTGAGGTGTGTGTGGGCCATGGGAGTTTTTATTCTCTCCCCTCCTGGAGTATTTACTTAGTGCACAGCTTGAGTCAGCTATAGATTACCTAAATTAAAGGTAAACAGAAGGCAAGAAAATCTCATTTTAGTCTCAGCGTCTTCCTCTACTTAAATTATTTGCCGGTAGTAAAATGGAAAAATTGGAGATTGGTTTCTTTTTTCTTTTAATTTTTCTGGAAGCAATTCTGGTAAGCGATGAGAGACAAATGGTGGACATTAAGATAGGAGGTGACTGTAAAATAAAGGGGCCAGGGTAATCCCTCACCAAGCTTCCCTGACCTTTGCCTGCAAAAGATGAGCACCCACAAATCCCACCACTGATACTGTACTGGGAGGATCAGGGGGAAATGACTGTTTTGAAACAGTTGGATATTTTAAAAGATGAACTATTTTAAAGTAGGGTCGAACACACAATATGAAAATTTTTAGAAGGGAAATAATACCTCATGTAAGGATCCACGCTGAGGAACAAAGCTTCCAGCAGGATCTCTACAAAAGAAAGCATTCCATAGGCAATTAGAAACTCAAGGCCAGATGCCTTTGTCTCTTGTTGGGAGCCGGTGACGTGTCTGGACACGGTCCACGCCACCTGACGGTCTGGAGTCAGGGACTCGGCCCTCCCCACAATTACCCTTGATATTGAGAGCCTGCTACATGTCTGGACATGGTCCACGTAGCCTGAGGGCCTGGAGCCAAGGACTCAACCCTCCCCACAAGTACCCGTTAGGAGCCAAAATAAAGAAAATTACCAAGGTCTCGGCTGATGCAGGAGGCAGGGTGTTTACTCTGGAAGAGTGTTCATGCAGCCTTGAAGGAACTACTTTGTATCACCCTCACCTCATTACTAATTGTTTGTTGCTCACTATATAATAGAGGCGTTGAAGCCATTTGGGACTGCACCTCATTGGAGGGCAGCCCTCCTGATCCCATAACTGTGTTTGTCTCTTTAATTCCCACCACTCGAACTCAGGTTTGTTCGTTTTTCAGGCTGGTTCCTGACAGTCTCTGACATTCTAAATGAACACAGATCATCTTTCTGCCTCAGGGCTGCCCTCCCACCTGTGCTTTCTACTGGAGACAAGAAGGACTCACATTTGGCCCAGCCAGTTGCTGTTATTCATCATCATTATCATCATATTTACACAGCACTCCATGCTTTTCGTGGATTATTTCATATGACATTCTCAACAATTATTGTTTCCATTTTATTTAAGTTTAGGTTCAATAACTTGCCCAGGGCCATATTTGTGACCACTATGTTGCAGTGCTCGCATAGGTTTTCATTACCAGTGCCAGGTAGTATTAAAGAATATACATGTTGCTGACCTGAACCTTATGTACACATTCCCAGGAATTTTGAAGCTGAGTCCCGGCTATCCCAATTTAGCTGGGACTGATAACTTTGCCATTCTACTCAATTGCATGCCCTTTTTGCAAAGCTTACCTACCTGTAAACACCCCTTATAGACACTCCTTAGAGTCTACTCTACAAAGGTAATTTCCAAACATGTTATCAAGTGTGTTGCCATTTCTCTCCCTTAGGTTTCTTCAGGTTTGACTTGACCATTCAGTTCCCCCTAGTGGACAAGAGGTTCCTCAGTGAAGAGCAAGGGTTTTCACCTACTTGTCTCCTCACAGGGATAGTCTGAGCTCTGCACACAGACTGTCTGTACCCCACTGTCATCATCGGGCTCACCAGGACAGAGAGGAAATCCACCCATGATCTGATCAAAGCCATGAAGAGTAATGCATCCAAGCACAAGTTTCAATTACCAAGAAAGAAGAGGGATCCTCCAACAAGACATCAAGGCTTCACATAGAGGATTTTGAAAAAGTTCCTGTGGCACATTGCCAAATGGCCACAAATATCTCCTATCTCTCTGTGTGGTCCTCTTTGCCACTCCTCCCAACAAGAAATCTATTTCCCTCTCCTTGATCTGGGCTTGGCTATGTGACTTGCTTTGACAAGTTTACTAGCAAATATGACACAAGTAGAGGTTTGAGAAGTGTTTGTACATGGGAGCTTGCTGGTTCTTGCTGCTCTAGTTTCAGGAGACAACCGTGAAAATAAAGAGGTCAAACTAGCCTGCTGGAAAGGCCACACTGACAACTGAGGCCAGAGAATTGCGTACTACTAAATGATTATTGTTTGAAGTCACTAAGTTTTGGGGTAGTTTGTTATGCAGCAAAGGCTGACTGATACAGTCTCTTTCAACTCAAATCCTATGATTATGACTTACCTTCATTTTTTAAGGGTGGGAGCTCAACTGTCTTCATCTCAAAGTTACTACTTGTAGGGCTGCCTTCAAAGTGCTTCTTCAAGGTCCAGTTCTTAGCACGAACCATCCTGAAGCTCCTAGAACACAGAAGTCAAATGGATTATTATGGCTCCCTAGCCATTACACTGAGGCCAGGCAGCACAGTCTACCCATCATCATTATCATTTAGCATCAATCACATTTATCTAGTGTTCACTATGCTTTTGTTGCTGAGCTAAGCACTTCATATGCATCATGTCACTTAATCCTCATAACTACCCTATAAGATTGGCATTATTATCATTGCCAGCATACGATGTACATAAGAGCAAACTGGGGCTTCCTCTGAAGCCTCCAAGGCCAGGGAAAATGTAAACCAACACAGAAATTCTTCCCAGCAGTTGCTGATCTGGGGTGCAAATATTCTGTTTCTTGCCCCACATGAAACAAATCCTAAGAAATAGCATCAAAGAACCAACCAGAAGCCCATGCACATCTTTCCAATGGGTAGAACAGCAATTTTCGGCCTTTTTCATCTCATGGCATACATAAGCTAATTACTCAAATTCTGGGGCACACCAAAAATATATATATTTTTGCTGATCTGACAAAAAAAAAAAGTATAATTTCGATTAATTCACACCAGACGGCTATTATTGCGTTGAATGTTGTCATTTTTTAAAAAATTTTATTTGACAATCTAAGGGAAAAGAGGTCAGGGCCCCTGACTGGTCAGGTATTGCATGTTTTGCAGATCCCAGCGGCACCCCTGGTGAAAACCCCTGGGACAGAGCAACGCGTTTTAAGACAGTCCCGGGAACAGCTGGACACCACCAGGTGGCGCTGCTGCTCCGCCCCGTTTTCAGACGGGAGTTTCCTTTGGCACCAAACGCGAAATCAAGGATTTGCGGGGATTTAAATTTGCCCCCACACAAAGCCGAGAGAAGATCATTCACGCTGCTGGGACTTGCCCCGCATCACGTGGGAACCGCACGTCAGTGAACCAGCCGCTGACCCCGCGCCCC